TATCGTTTTATTATACTAGAACTTCCACAGAGAATCTAAGATGATCAAAGCGATGTTTCCCCGTTGTAAATTTGATCAAAGAAGACACAAACAATAGATTGCACAATTTATTGCCTGGCATATTTCGCGGTAGCTCGCCAGGTGCATGCTACAGTAACAATTGATTAAAATGAAGCAAATAAATGAATCCTTCTAGCCGAAACATGTATTCGCCTTTCAGCATTATTATTATAGCTATTATACAATATAGTTATATTATATAGTTTAGTAATTACAATTACAATTATTATCAATACTCATTAAATCTTAGACCCTTTCAGCTCCTCTCCCTCTAGTTTTTAACAAAACCTGTTAGAGGGCTGCGTCCCCGCCACCACCCGAGAGCATCCCCAATGTTTGCTTTGTGTCGGCAACCCTGCCTATCACCTGTATGTCTACCTCTCGCTCGCTTGCCTTTAAATTATCCTTCAAATGTTTTTTTTTTTTTTTTTTTTGCTAGAGTAAAATGTCACTACTAAAAGTAAAGATGCGAGTAGGCGGGACATGAATGGTTTAGGTATTGACGAGGATTCGTGGGAATAACATGACATGGACCATCTTGCGTAAAGAGAGCAAAATGAGAAAGGAGTGAGCATGAAGGAAGAAATGATTGCCTAAAGGATGACCGCTAAGTGTCTGAGAAGAAATACACAAGTACAAATGGTATCAACGGCGATCTTGAAATGCCATGCTATAGTTTAGGTTCAGCCCTAATCCCCCCTAAGTCGGCCTCGTATCTCTCCTATCAAGCGGTCCCGGGGCTAACTCACTGTTCTAGCTAAACTCCAAGTTTAACATATACCTTCTAACGAAGTAAAGCACTAGTTTTCTCCTAACCGGTCTTTCTAGCGGTCTAGCCCTAACTCCCTTCTCCAGCGGTTCCGGGGCTAACTGTCCTCTCTAGCGGTTCCGGGACTAACTTTATTCCCCCGCTTTCCCGCTCTTTTTGGCGTACCTTCTTCATCACTTCTCTGTCACCTGTCTTTGGTGGTCACGTCTGGATGAACGTATCTCATCAGCTGGTCACAGTTCACGGGCACTCGTCGAATGTTTAATCCCTCACTGTCAGATGTCATGGCGGTGTGTTCTGCATAGCTGGCTAGGCCATGGCTTTCTAATCACCTATTTCTGTCATTTCACACAGTGATGGATTAGTACGCCGTGTGGTGGTCTGAAATGTATGCTTGTTCATTTAACCCCTTTCTGCCTATATTTCATTACAAAAACAGCCTGAACGTGGGCTACAGCAACGACAGCTGTGGGCGGCGATATTACAGACCCCTTTCGTTAGGTAAAAAGGGAAAAGCCCACGAGCCCCTTTTCACACGGGAGGAATTTTATCTGTCCTATCTAAGCTATTCGGTAATGAGTGATAAGTGTTAATTATGCTACCCCAACGATTTCATATCTCACAGTACCTTTTACAAAGTCACCAATTCTTCTTGTCCCTGTCCGATAACACCCGGTAATACGTGCAGCAAGGGAAACTAACCCTGAGCCTCATGAACTCTGGTGGGCCCACTCTCTGAAAATGTCTAGGAGCTCGTGGGCCGAAACATTTGTCGACGAGAGATTACTTATACTGACGATTAGTAGACCCCTGCTGTACATGCTCCCCAGTGGAGTTTCTTCTTACTTATCATTACAGCACTCAGAGAAAATCCATGAGTGCTCGGATATCTTCTGAAATAGCTCCACAAGCGTAAAAGGACCAGTGGCACCCGATCTGTGTTGATGAATCAGACATGTGCCCTTTGTAAGATGATCATGTATAGCTGCTCAAGGCAGCACTCACATATCCACCAGCCTAGGCAGGGATACTGGTTACTGCTTGCTGTCTTTGTCTTCGCGGATATACATCTCACATGGCATTAATGCCATTACTCCTGTCTATGCCGAACGAGTCTTAATTACCTCCATCTCTGCCAGATAATCTGTCTGTTACGTGTAATACGAGAGCTATTTCAAAATTACCTACCCATTGACTAATTAAAAACAAACTGTTTATCATAGCAACACCGCTCATTGCTTGCATCGTTCAGTAGCCTTTTAGCTCACTGAGTGTCAGCCCACAGTTGTGTGTGTTCAATGGTTAACGAATCGAGAACAAATAAACATGGACACTGGGATTGCCTTACAGAGATTTGGCGTAAAGAAATGCATGATGCGGGTGCACAAAGATGACATTCATGTGTGACAGATGAGCTCATTTAAAAGGTCTTCCATGTAATAGTGGAAAAGCGCCATTTCAGATTTTTTTACAGAATTTTTACAATTTCGAGGACTAGTTTGTATCGAACTGTCACATAGAGGTTAGGTTACCACAAATCTGGTTCACTGTGGGTACGAAAGCAACTGACTGATGTTCATAAAGTTGAGAGAATGGGCTTAGTTTGACGTTCATACAGTGCTAATGGGAATAATGGGGATGCATTTCTCGACAGAATAGTGACTGGGGACGATACATTGGTTTCACTTGGTGAATGCAGAGATGAAGGATCCGTCAAAACAATGGATGCATACTCCTTCTCCAAAAAAGCCGCTTACAAATTTCAAGCAAACATTTTCGGAATGAAAAATACATGAAATAATAGAAATGTCATTACATATAGGAGCCGCGGTATCACCATGTTTAGATTATGGTATGTGGTTCACAAAATCGTGGTTGTAACATACAAAATGAACCACTCATCCAAGATAAAATAATCAGCTTAACACATTCTTTGGTATTTAATTTAATACAAGTTAAACGAAAACATATTTTCACTAACTACCTATTTGAAAGATGTATATATTTTACAAAGCGGCGTCCATGGCTTCCGACTCGTAATTCCAACATACCGCGATCGAAACCCACTGCTGGCTGCGTGGATTTTTATCATGGTATGGGTTGTTGCAGGTCGACCCAGCCTAAAATGGGCACCGGGATGTATGTCCTGGGGAAGTACAGGCGGCCGGCGTAATGCAGACCACATTACCAACCTAGTACTGATGGTCTGTAAAAAATATGGGCGCTCGCTCTATACCCGTTTTTCCCATATACCCGGTGCCCTTATTGCTATGTTCGTTTTCGTTCCACCTTGTACCTCAGCGAAGTGTCGGGGGGGGGGGGTGTAATATACGTTGATGAGCTCTGTCAAGAACACTATTAAGTTCATTTCTGTAAGGCTGTTCTTAATGCCATCACTCCATTATTTCCGAGGTCTTCTGCTCGCTCTATACCCGTTGTAACGTTTAAGTGTGGCTCGCTGTGGTAGATAGTACCAGAGCATTCTTGTTAGGTGTCCAAAACATTTTATTTGTTGTTCTTTGATGACCTGTAAGATTGGCTTTATTTCTAGCATTCGTCTCATTTCGTGATTTCGTACAGGTAAGTTAGTATAGTGATACTAAAAATAGGATTAATGTAAGGGGTTTGATTGGTCTTTAGAATTAGGGTAATCCATAGGTTGTAAGACATGAAAACACGGGACTGTTTGGGTGATTTTGGAAAGTGAGATACCTGTTGGAATGGCTAAATAGCGAGTCATTCTGTGACAGGACTGCAGAGCTTGAAAGAGTGAAAGTGGATCGTCTGCATCGAAAGCTATATTGAAAGAAGACTGAGAGAAAGACGATACTGATAGGTACTGCTGAGTGCTAATAGTGTGCATGTTAACGATGACGTTCAAGTCGTGGCTGAATGTTTCAAAGTACGAACACATGGGACCTGGATGGATGTAAGTAAGTGTCATGCTGTCGATTGTCGGTAGACTGTTAGACTAGCGGACTGTTTCTCGTAGCTGACTGACTGTCTTTCTACCCCACCAAGACATCACACAAGCGATAAACACCCGATGACACAATGTACCACCATGTGGGTGAGGATCACCGTGGAGAGGTCCTAGAAACCGCGTTCAGTCCTTAGGCCATATTTATGGCCGGGCTATATTGCGGCCCCTGGCAAGAACCTTAGTAGGGCTTCAAATAACTTAGCTCATGTGTTATGACTAATAAACCTGAAACTATTATCAGCTGGCTTCGACTGTGATGTGGAGAAGTGCGGCAGTTGATTGGGAAGAAGATCTGTCTCGTCTGCTCTGTGAAACCTAGACAACGACCAATCTCATTAGTACCATTGAGACTCGGTACAAAGAGACGCGTTACGGTCAGGAACGCGGACTTCCTTATTCCGACACACCGCTTCACTTAGGCTGCAGACAATTTTGACAATTTTATGAAAGTGGCGATGCCTGATTTGTTAGATAATGCTCTCTGCTACCACTATCCGAGAACGATTTTCTTAAATAAACGGCCTGTTATGGAATTCTATTTCTGGCCAGACAAAATCTCAAACACTAAACAACTTCGTCGCAAACCAAGAGGAAATGGCTTAGCTACGTTATGAGAATGAATCCTGATATACTTGCAAAAACAGTTCTCACATAGGAAAGAGAAAAAAGGGGCGCCCAAAAACAACATGAAGACAAATGATGGAAAGTGACCTGAGTGCGGCATCTCTGACATGGAAAACTGCACTGAAGATTGCACAGGACATAAGAGCATGGAAAGTCCTCTCTGAGGCCTCGTGTTTTACTAGGTGTAAAGAGAATTGATGATGATGATGATGTTGAAATTCTAACGTCGAAATTGTAATATACCTTTACTTAAGTCTACACCACGGATCTGCATATGGCATAGTTGCCTAAAGATCGAGAGGGAGGGAGGGAGGGAGGGAGAGAGAGAGAGAGAGAGAGAGAGAGAGAGAGAGAGAGAGAGTTTTCTGTCTTTTACTAATTGCTTAGCTTGTGGTAATATCATATTGCATTTATGTAGTGTCTCTTTCACTCCATCCACCCCTTTCTTGGTTTTTCAATTCATTTATCACATTGACAAAATTATTTGATTGATAACAATACTGCTGCTATGCTTTTTCTATAATATTCGAAATGGCTAGAGACTTTACGCCACATATCACTGAGTCAATCGTTCTTCCCAGTTTCAGAACTGTTACACCGACTTTTGTCCATCCAATAGTACGTGCTGTTGTAGGGCTTGTTCTTGAGGCACTGTCCAAACTGCAAGTCACATAAACAGGATTTGTATGCACACGTCTTGTCTTTCGATGAATCTGTAATAAAAATGACAAAACTGAATCAGTTTTCCCCCGTCTGGGATCCGGAATTCTACGTTTGTGGAAAACAGAACAGACCCACTGCCTCCCCGACAAACAGATAGCAGGAGTCAACTAATAGGGAGCTTTTAACGAAGTTGAAGTGCATCTGGCTGAGAGGCAAGGAACCAACAGTTTGCATATAAATAAACAACAAGCCGCATCATTAGTAAAGTCTAAGGCTTTTTTTTTCTCTCTGTTTTTTTTATTATTTTTAATTTTTAATTTTTTAAGCTTTACTAATTGCGGCTCGGACTGAAGAATGAAGAAAGAAAAAACACTGTGGCTCAATACAAAGATATAGGTTGGTTAGTTGCGTATCCTTTACAGGACGTTGCAGAACCAACCCCAGCAGCCCCTTGCTGTTGTGTGGTTTCTCTAGGCAAATTTACGTCCAGTAGTTTGCTATTGCTTCTGGACAGTCGGCTCCCTGATACCACTGTCGAAACCAACGCAAGGCGTATGGCCCGCAGCTGGTATCGAACCCGGCACCACGGCATTACGAAGCGTTCGCATCGACTTAGCCACAAAGCCGACACAAAGATATGAGAAACGCGATTTCCACCTCCCGAGACGATAAGCTACGAGATTTGGATACTCGAGTGTTCTGGGCAACCAAGAGCTGTTACCGCGTGACTGTATTGAGTCCTTTTCTCATCGTTAATTAATTTCACATTTATCAAAATCAGGTTAACAACTAAACATAAATTATGTGCTTGAATTTTGTTAAATGGTATCGAATGTAAAGTATAATGTGTGCACAGAGTAATGAATAATTCGAGGCAAGCGTGCAGGTTGGATAAAGCGTGCCAGAGTAGAGGAATGTTCGAGAACACGAGAGAGAGAGAGAGAGAGAGAGAGAGAGAGAGAGAGAGAGAGAGAGAGAGAGAGAGAGAGAGAGAGAGAGAGAGAGACAGAGAGAGAGACAGAGAGAGAGAGAAGAGACATATTATTTAAGCTTGGAATGATCAATAAGATTCAGTCTAGTTTTTCGATCTTGGGACAGTGTGTCTAGTGTAAAAGTTGTGTGAATCTAACGCAAGTGAATGGTTGTTCAAGCTTTAACTGTGAGTCCCGAGAAAACCTGGCCATCTTATTTAGCCGGAGATCTTGCCATGGCGGGACGTCGTTTGCTGATCGTGTGACTGGTTGTAAACCTTGAAGTGTCTGCGTTTGAAGTGCAGCGTGTAGTTGTCTTGTGAAATGTTACATTAATATTATTGATGCTTTATATGTGGCCGAGCTAGTCGATCTAGACGTTTATACCTCTAGTAAATTGAAACAGTTGTTGGAACCAATACACATTTCGTATCGATCAGCTGTGTGGCGTTTCCAAAGTTCCTTATTCATGTTCAAAATGTTGAACTGTCAGTGTACCTTGGAAGGCTAAATGCGACTAGGGCCTAAGTTAGTAGTTGCAGTGACACCAAAGTATGACTACATCAATAACGGTTGATGCGTTACTTGACTCGTCTCGATCAGTACAGATACAAGTCGCTGAGAGATGTGGATATCAAAACGCCGTCCCCAGATACACTGCAACTGTAGCAGCAGCAGCCGACCTCAAACGTGCTTAAAGAGGAAGTTGCAGACACCCCAGTTTAATTGCACTTATCAAGTCAAGAGACGATGGCTGAAACAGAATCAGAGACATCACCGGTTTCAAAAGAAAGACGAAGAAATCTAAAACACCAAAACCCAGGTGGGAACAATAGCAGTATAAAACAGAAGACATTACTACGATCTGAGTCGTCCGCCGGTGTAAAGAGGTGCAGGAGCCTTACAACACTACCCACACTGGTTGCATTCTCCCCATTTGTTCGTCTCAAAGCGTTTCTTCTTCTTCTTCTTCTTCTTCTTCTTCTTCTTCTTCTTCTTCTTCTTCTTCTTCTTCTTCTTCTTCTTCTTCTTCTTCTTCTTCTTCTTCTTCTTCTTCTTCTTCTTCTTCTTCTTTTTCTTCTTCTTCTTCTTCTTCTTCTTCTTCTTCTTCTTCTTCTTCTTCTTCTTCTTCTTCTTCTTCTTCTTCTTCTTCTTCTTCTTCTTCTTCTTCTTCTTTCTTTCTTTTTCTTCTTCCTCCTCCTCTTTTTCTCCTCTTCCTCCTTTCTCTTCTCCTTCTCCTCCTTCTCCCCCTTCTCCTCCTTCTCCTTCTCCTCCGTCGTTTTCTTCTTCTTGTTCTTTTTCTTTTTTGTCCTCTTCTTCTTCTTCTTCTTCTTCTTCTTCTTCTTCTTCTTCTTCTTCTTCTTCTTCTTCTTCTTCTTCTTCTTCTTCTTCTTCTTCTTCTTCTTCTTCTTCTTTCTTCTTCGTTTTCTTCTGTTTCTTCTTCTTCTTCTTCTTCTTCTTCTTCTTCTTCTTCTTCTTCTTCTTCTTCTTCTTCTTCTTCTTCTTCTTCTTCTTCTTCTTCTTCTTCTTCTTCTTCTTCTTCTTCTTCTTCTTCTTCTTCTTCTTCATCTTCTTCTTCTTCTTTCTTTCTTTCTTTCTTTTTTTCTTTTTCTTCTTTTTCTCTCCTTCTTCTTCTCCCCCTCATCGTCCACCTCCTTCTGTGACCAGCTTTAAAATGCTGGTTTCATGCTGAATTGTGGTTTACAACTAAACTACTGTATCTTTTCCTTTCTCTAAGCAGAATGCTTGACCACATGCGGAAAGCTTCTAATACAACGGGAACTTCATAGCTCTATCGACGATCCCGGGACTTTAAAAAAGAATCAAAACACGTCAGCCGTCATTTAAGCCACCCAGTCCTCAAGGAAAGTCACAACTATGCGATGTTTAAAAGACAGAAACAAAAAAAAATGGAAGAGCAAACAAAACAAAAAAACCACTCACCGGTACAAGTGCAGTTGCCATTCTGGCAGTCGTATTTGTATGTGACGAACTTGGGCGAACATGCAGAGCCCGTGTTACCGTAGCAGGCATCGTGCTGACGGCAGCATCTGGTGGAAAGATAATAGGGACACTATATACATCTATCTTTTTTTTATACTGTTTGTCACTGACGAACGTGTTGTTTTCGTTCGATCTTCTTCGTCTGTGATCTTGTTGGTCCAGAATATTCATTCGCCTTAGATGTGTTTGCGTGTGTCTTCTTGTGTGTGTGAGTTTAAATGCAGTAGTTCCAGTGGTAGCTTTAGTGACTGCACCTATTCCAAAATAGCAAATGGGTACTTAATTTATAACTTACCCCTGACGTCACGACTACGTCACGGGAGACAATCCCAATAAATTCTAGGGTTTTCAGGTTGTAGTTTCTAGCGATTTATCTACAGCCAAGTTTAGGGTTAGGGTAAGGGTTAGGGTTAGGGTTAGGGTTAGTGTAAGGGTTAGGGTTAGGATTAGAATACACTAGATGAACACACACACACACAAAAACACCAAACAACAGCACACTTGCACCCCTTGAAATAATGGACTGTCAGGTCAGCTGTGGATTTCCCACGGGGATTTCGTGTTTGGGGTACGTTATAAATTAAGAACCTAGCAAATGTCTTAATCTTCTGCCTAGTGGAGATTAGCGCAGTAGAATATGATGTTAATTTTGTCAGTCATGTTAACCTTAGATACCAGTAGTAGGTGTGGGAAAACCCGGGACTTTTATATAGTAGGCGCGGAGGAAGCCTGAGGTTCCAATCTAGCAGGACGCCGGCTTCTTAGGTAAAGGTTCTGGATGTCAAAGGTGGTTTGTGTTGGTGGTCAAGGTATACTTTTATATGGTAAGAAACTCGGGGGAGCAGTGATGTTCGGCTTGTTAGAGTAGAGTTGTAGTGGTCAATAGTGGTCAGTAGTGTTAAACGGGTTTGGAGGTATGATTTTTTTTAAAGTGAAAATAGGACAAATAGATCCAAGAAGGTATGACTCGAATAAAGTGAGGGTTACTTTCCCATTATGGCGGGGTCCCCGAGATGCGAACATGATGGCGGGGTCCTCGAGATTGCGGACAAGATGGGCGGAGTCCTCGAGATTGTGGACAAGATGGGCGGAGTCCCTGAGATTGCAGACAAGATGGGCGGAGTTTACAAAAGTAATGGTCAAAAAGGCGGACTCTTCCCTCCCTCACCCCCCTCCCCCAAGGCTGAGGGATCTCCGAAGATGGCAGGCTTCCCCCCTTTCCCCAAAATGCTCAACTCCCTCATCCAGAATGACAGGCTCCACCAATGACTACATAAGCGGATTGATATACCTAAGCCGACTATATTACTTTTAACTTGACATATTCATCAATTTTTTTTCTTTTTTACTGAAAAAAATTATAGCACCATCTATCTTTACCCCTACTGACCAACAGAAAAGCAGCCAAACAGGTTGACGTTTTTACTTTATCAAGCATATAATCGTATTTCCCTCTGTGAAACTGTAGCTCATCGCGATTCCTCAAAATCCAGCATATAAAGTTTCATGTTGGAGCCCGCCAACTCGGAAGCGGCCGCCCGCCTATTTGGCTAGCAACCCTCACTATATACGAGTCATTTTCCAGGGTCCCCCTTTAACCTATGTTCATTATCAAAGTCCTACCCCCTCCCCCACCCCCTAACCACTCATACCTTGACCCCAGACCTACCATTATTTACCAACAAAACACTAACCTAACAGGCTGAACAACCACTGACCCCCACCACTGACCTCTAGAGCCCTAACATAACAAGCCATCTTGTAACCTCACGGCTCCTCTCTCGCATGCTATATAAAACCCATGCCTCCTCTTTGCTCCTCCCGCGCCTACTCTATAAAAGGCATGACTCCTCCCGGTTCCTCCCGTGCCTGCTATATAAAGCCACTTGAGGTGCACATTATATTCGAAATTAACATTGATTACTATTTAGGCCTTTGACCAGTTGGCATAGCTGACTTTTGCGATTGAATCTTTGTTTCGGGGCAGTGTCCAAATGCGAAATCAAACATACCTTGGTCGCCTCTTACGACATGATAAGATAAGTGCAGTGTTAATGTGATTTGCTTCCCGTCAAGCTTCGGTTATTGCAATGGTTCTCAACCTTCCTAAAGTCGCGACCCTTTCATACAGTTCCTCATGTTGTGGCAGCCCCCAATCACAAAATTCTTTTCGTAGCTACTACATAACTTTAATAAATGTGTTTTCCTATGGTGTTTGGCCCACCCATTGTGAAACGGTCAATCGACCCCAAGAAAGGGGTCGCGGCACACAGGTTGAGAGCCGCTGTGTTAATAGGATAGATGCTTATCCTTTACGTGACGTCAAAGCTGGTCCCAGCATTTGTTGACTTCTTTTACTAAGCAATTCGTGGTTCAGTAGGTTGCCACTTGCTGGGCTCTTACGAGGAAGACACATGTTCGAATCTTCGGTAAGGTCAGGGATTTTGTTTCCTGTCGTGGAAATGTATAACATACTAACCTGCACAGTTCGTGGCGTCTACACTAGGCATGCGGCCAATAATAAGAAAACTCAAAGATTCCCCCTGCCTACACCGCAAAAGTGGTAAACCATGCGGTCATTTGCAGTTGCCCCCCTTTTTCTAAACAGTCGGCGCTCTATGCTCTCGATACAATCCACACAAATCAGATTGCTGCCAAACCGCCTGCAACTGACTTTGAACTTGGTATTACATAATTATGAAACTGCGTTCATAATACATACACTTCGGGCGCCAGTAGTATCACACGGGCGTTGTTGCATCGCAGATACCATAAATTAAGGGTATAAGTCACATTTTCGAACCCGAAACTTTTCCAAATCTGGTGGTCAAATGTTCAACGAGGCACAAAGAAAAAAAATACTTAGCATTTTGAGCGACACATTCTGAGAAAGACTTGTACGACTCCTAGGCCGCACTTTACGGGGAGGCTGTACTCTTTGCTTGAGGTAAGAGAGTCTAGGTTGACACCACAATAATGGCTCTAGGGTGAAGTGCTATGCCTCTAGGCTAATCCCATTTTATAAAGCACCCACTTTTCCAAAACTAATCAACGAGGCCAGAAAAAAAATACTTATTTTACACATAAAAGTACCTTTACGGTATTTTGCAGGAGTCTTTTTAATGCCGATTGAACCCATAAACTAATCCCGTATGCCACTGCCACTCCCCCCCCCCCCCTCCCCCAACCTTACTCCTACCATTTTCACAAAGCACTTACCTACCTTGTAGTCAGCGCTTTTTCTTTCTAGAAAAAAAAAACTAGCCAGTACTCTCCATAAAATGTCTTAAAAGGTGCCAGTACTCACCATAAAGTGTCTAAAAAGGTGCCAGTACTCACCATAAAGTATCTAAAAAAGTGCCAGTACTCACCATAAAGTATCTAAAAAACTGCCAGTACTCACCATAAAGTATCTAAAAAAGTGCCAGTACTCACCATAAAGTATCTTAAAAAAGTGCCAGTACTCATCATAAAGTGTTTAAAAAAGTGCCAGTACTCATCATAAAGTGTTTAAAAAGGTGCCAGTACTCACCATAAAGTGTCTAAAAAAGGTGCCAGTGGTCACCATAAAGGGACTAAAAAGGTGCCAGTAATCACCATAAAGTGTCTAAAAAAGTGCCGTTCTTGAAATACTTACTCGTCGGTCTCGTCAACAGGCTTTCCTGTGGAAGTGGTGCCTGGGCCACAGTAACAGCCATAGCTCAAGTAGAGACCGCACTGGCGGCCGGTGTGTTTGTTTACCATCGAACACAGTTGGCCAAAGTGACGCTTTAAACGGTAAAAAGGCAGCCCTAGAGATTCTGCGCTTGTTGTTGTGGTAACTGTGTGTTGATAATATGAATAAAGGGTAAAGAATGTACCTACACAGAAAAGTGTGACTTTTTTTCCAGTCTGATACAGCTGAACATATAAGCTTCCCTATATGCAGTATGTTTTGCAAGGGATTTTAAAACTACTATAAATATTACTACTACTGACGCTGCTGCTGCTAATAATACCATCACCAATACAGCTAATTAATTCTACTATTTAAATAATAATACAACTACTGCTGCTTCTGCTGCGTTTGTTTCTTCTTCTTCTCCTTCTTCTTCTGCTTCTTCTCCTTCTCCTCCTACTCCCCCTCCTCTTCCTCATCCTCCTTATTCTCGTTTTCATCTTCTTCTTTTACTAATACTGTTTCTTCTTCTTCGTCGTCTTCTTCTTCCTCTTCTTCTTCTTCGTCTTCTTCTTCTTCTTCTTTTTCTTCTTCTTGTTCTTCTTTTACTTCTTCTTCTTCTTCTTCTTCTTCTTCTTCTTCTTCTTCTTCTTCTTCTTCTTCTTCTTCTTCTTCTTCTTCTTCTTCTTCTTCTTCTTCTTCTTCTTCTTCTTCTTCTTCTTCTTCTTCTTCTTCTTCTTCTTCTTCTTCTTCTTCTTCTTCTTCTTC